ATTCCAGTATTGCTTTCTCCTGTTCACATTACGAATTATCTCCTCCGGCATCGGGAGATCGAACAATCGTACAATTTACATATATACAGTGAATGAGTCTAAAATCTCACTTACAATTAGATGTTGCTCAAATCTTGCTCTGCATATGCTCGAATAAGCACGTATAATTAAAAAATTACTATAATATTTATACTTAAAGTTTATATAAAAAATTTCATATATATATATATATATTTTCTATAATCTTATTCATTAAACTTAATTCGTCTAATTAAGCTATTAAATATCCACATTCGACTTACATATAAAGTTTATTTATTTATCTGTGCAAATGCTTGTAGCTACGGAATTTCCCATAAATTACTTAAAATATAGCCAAAAAGAGAGAAAATATTATACCCTACGAGAAATGCTTTTCGCAAATGGAAATTTAATCGCGTCTTTAATAATATGATATTAATGCCAATATTAGACGGTGCTCTCTCGAGAGCATATATTATTTAAGATAGAACGACACTAGACATGAGTAATTCATCTAACCTCAGCTAATAACTGGTAAGCTTTACCACGTCGGGCGTAATTTACTTGTCAGTGCAAACGAAATAATACGATATTAATCGTGAATCGAGTGAAAATACTTGTGCCATGCCGTTTCCTACTTGCATATAGATACGTGTACGGGCTAATAAACAGGTATGTATGTATGTAATGAGTGAGAATCGAACTTGACGGCTAACCGACATAACTAGCACCAACCTCCGAACATTCTAATCGCGGCACTGCAACGCCACTATCACAAACATCACTTTCTCCATCTTCAGCTCTAAACGACCATCCTGTTAACCTTTTCTAACTGCTAAAAAGGACGCCATAATGACGAGTTGTATTCAATTTCCCGTTTAAGAATGACCATAATAACTAGAATAAAACTCGTATCTCTCTCAGAGACTGTCGAACATATACCTACGTATTGAAGATGAGAATTTTATTATCACAATAACTTGCGTAAGTACGCTGAGCAAGAGTCGCCCGTATGATATATTACAGTTTCACTGATCCATGTATGCAATAAGAACGTAAAATGCAGATTAGCAATTTAAACTCGCTGATATTTAATTCACTTTAATTAAAATCCAAAGATATTAAAAGTTCAAGTACATACAAATTTACATTCAAGATTGTATTGCTAAAGCAACAATTTTTGCAAAAAAATTAACTAAAATTTTTATATACATATAAAAAAATTTTCCTACCGTAACTAATAATGGCTATTTTGAATTAGACAGTAAAAAAATCGAGGACATAATCGGCACGACATGACTAAGAAAAGATGATTAATATAGCTGCTTCGCTCGAGAGTCGAAAGTAAATTTCGCGTTCGCCAGTCGATGAGTCAATAACCTTTAAATATTCCTCGCATGTCGATTAGCCGAAAAAATAATACTTGCGAAGGATGCACGATATCCCCTCTTCCTCCTACGATATTTATGACCGATATAAAAACACCTTACGTCGCATTACGGAATACCCGCATTTGTACAGACTTCAGCCGTGTACTTTCATCGAACTGCACAGTTTACAGTCTATAGAGTCTACGTTTATATTATGCAAAAATTTATAAAAACTTGTGGAAGATAAATGTAATTTATTCGCGAAGGAGAATTGTATGCGGAATAAGCGCAAAAATTCAAGAATTTATACATTAAGTATACATATATGTACCTATGTGTGCAGATCTGTTTAAAAAATAAATCTCTGCTATATCTTAGACGGATTATCGTAATACATCAAGGTATCTTATGCGTCTTGTTACATGCACGCGACACCGTTTATACGGTATATAATTCATCGGTAATGGCTTTTCCGTCACTAGGACAACATGACGTAACGACGCAACTAATTAGGGGGCTGCGGAAACATCGAACGCCCTTGCATTTTATGTACCAATATTTCAGGATACTTGAAATACTTTCGCAGAGATAGTTGCGACGATCGGACGGAAATTTACGAGTACGTCTTAACTTGCCATCAAGGACGGCACGAGATTTCGTCTCGGTTGGCATTCTTGCGCAACAAAACTTTAGATATACTGATTGAAAACCACGCGCGCTCGTTAAGAGAAGTATCTTTTAATACTTTCAATTTTGTTGCACAAAAAAGTAGTACGTTTCCAATACATTAAACTCGATACGTTAAATCTCTCTAAAAAATTCAACACAATTTTTTAAAAAATTGTCAAACTATTAGTACATCTACTCATATGTCAATTAAAGACTCGTATTGCCAACTCGAGTACAATATCCCTTCGATGGAATAGAAAAAATAGAAAAGTATTAATTTGCCAGATACGTGCATATCCTGAGATAGTAGGAAAATCTTAACGATACGATTTAGCTGATAAGAGAAACAGTGAGAAATCGTTATATACGAATTATTTTCTGCGGGCAACCCGCACATACGCAGACATAGACATTATCGGGCGTACGTAGGACGCAAATCACACGTACCATTTATCACGCGCGCGTCGAGAGATCTCGCTAAAAGCTCGTCGGCACAACAGTCTCCGCGGTATTAGCGATAATTTTGGCGCGTACCGTTTCGTGTCACACACAAACGCACGTGCGCGCGGCGTATAGAATCTCCTTTAACCCTCTGTGGTTGAATATCGGCATTTAACTGACCGCGGACTTTTACTCTTTTGCTCGAATGCGTCGGCGCGTAGCCGCGTCGCACGTATCCGTACGTTAATTAGAGTTACGAGTGACGTGCGAAACGGCAATCTACTTTAATTAAGTACCCGGGGATATAGTTGATACCGTTAACTCGTCTCTTGATTATTTTTATTACGACCGCACCACCAAACGTGCTACGTATTGCAAGGTGATCTAAATTAGCGTTTGACGTGTTCTGCATGTCGCACGTTGTTTTATATTGCGTTGCAAATTATCTTCGATGACCTTCTTTAAAAAAAAATGACATCTTCATGAAAGTCTCTGTGAGCACGGCTAGTAATATAGCTAAACTTAAATTTTAAAAAATATGACTAAAATGTGTGATTTACGAGATATTCGGATGGTTCTGTGAGCAAGTAGATCGAGTCCGAAAGAGCTCGCGAGAAAGAAAAAGTCGCCGCATAATCGCGACTGCAATAATCAACGTGCTTGTCGACAGCGTGCATTTATGTGCGTCATAAAATCGAATGTTAGATTTACACCGACCCACGCTGAATCGCCGACCCAGTTCAAGATCCGAGAACGAGACGAATCGCAATGGAAAAAAGAAAAAAATACCAATATAAAAAAGAGAGAAAGAGAGAGAGAGAGAGAGAGAGAGAGAGAGAGAGAGAGACAGGTCGTTCGTCACTTGGCGCGCGGATAGAAAGCAGCCGGTCATCGATCGCGCTTTCCTTCTTACGACCGCGTACGCGCGAAAGACGTCAGGGTTCAGCGAACGACGTAATATACGCGTGTAGATACTTACGTACACGCCGACGCCGCTTCCTTCGCCGCGCGCGCGATCGAGCGTGTATCCGGCACTTCCTTCACCGCGATCGCGGCGGAAACGCGAGCGAGGGAAGCCGAAAGCCGACGCGTATCGGGAGGCTGGAGATTTATTTCCCTCCTCGCGACGGCATCAACGATGGCACCTGGATACCAACCGCTTCCTCGCGTGCACCGCGCGAAAGAGCAAGTGTGAAAACGACGTTACACGCCGCGCATTAATTCGCACGCATCCGCGGTGCTCCCGCAGCTCCTTTTATCCGCGTCACGCGAAATAATTCCGCCCGATTCACTCCGGGGAAGAGCCGTGAGAATACGTGTATTTCGATTCCGACGTGAATCTTTTTTTACGTTTTCCTTCCTTCAGATCAGCATGTTTACGCGACGTTCGTCGTTAGAGATAATAATCGATGCCAACTCGGACTCTCGCTTTTCGCCCTTGCAGCCTCTCTTTCTCTCTCGCCAAATATTTAACTATCAACGCGTATTTTTCATCTCTATGTCTGAAGCTCAATTGTGTCGATTATATCAACATGATTTTGAAAGCAAAATAACTCGGCAAAAATGGTGATATGTGACAATGCGCGCGCGAAAGCGGTACGAATCAACGGACCGCGAGACACGAGACCGAGACACGCGCGGAGAATTTCCCTACGGAGAGAACATTAAATACCGAAGGTAACACCTCTTACTCTCGCATGTATAATGTGTAGCACTTATCCTCGATGTGTACGCGCCGCTACATTAATCGCCAAAGTCCATTTCGATTTTTACCTTGGAATTTGCGCCGCGGCTTCCCGATTCAAATTTACGCTTTTATTTCTTCGCAATGTCAACGGCGAGCAAGTGTAAAACCGGGACAACGCGATATACTATTCCGATCAGGTCTGTTTATAATCATATCGCGGAAGCACTTTCACACACGTCGCGACGAGCGAAATGCTCGAGGTCGAAGACTTATTCTTGTCATATCGTACCAAATGGCTATAAAAATTGTTTCAATCCTCGTGAAATTCTAGTGGGCTGTATTTTACACATTTATACAAAGACTCACAAGACACAAATGACTCTTACTCTCGACCTACGTGGTCAAATTTATATTAATTATAATAATCACGACGTCAGTTAAATCGAGAGTAAAAAAAAAGTACGTTGTGTAAATTGTTTACTGGCGAAAATATAAGTTTCCGATTTGTTTTACTCACAAGACAGTTTGCAATTTATATCGCACGTAATAACACATTACATGCGATTTATTTCGCTACGTAGTTAATTGAACGTTTATTAACTGTTAAATATATCGACCTCACCATTTCTGCGCCAAATTCCTCACGTACGAGTAAGGTTAACTCGTCCGGAGGGCGAGGATTATCGCGGGCCGCGACACTAGCCCGAGGCCCGGAGCGGCCGGAGCGGCCGGAGCGGCCGGAGCGGCCGGAGCCCGGGCCGATATCAACGGATACGCTTATAAATCAACAGGGCACTCCACACTCCACTTACCGTGAGCTGCGTCTTGTCAGGCGCAATCGCCGTGATCTCGACCGGCCTCGGCTCCGGCGGGTTCGCCCTGCTGAGAAACGCAGCCGGCATTTTCGCGACGAGGGACAGCCTCCTGGTGAGCCGTCTGCCCACGTCCGCGCGTCGGCGCAGCCTGACGCGTGGTCCGGTGCCCTTGTAGCTCCCGAATTCCATTCTCGATCAGGATCCTTCGGTCCTCTCCTTCCTCGGCTCCTTCATCGGCTCATGGTGACAAACCACACACGTTACACGTTACACGTTACACGTTACACGTTACGCGCGACGACACCGGCGTTGTCCCACCGCCGGCGCCGCGGTAGATCGTTGCAGTCACGTGATTATTCGAACGAGCGTCGCGTCGTGTCCTCGTCAACGTCCATCTCGAACGCTTCAAGCTTCAAGTTTCGAGATTTCCCCTCACGGTTCACTGATCGCACTGATCGCACTGTCCACAGTCCGCACGAGCCGGCGAGGACTCCGACGTTTCGGAGCTACCGCCGCCATTTGCATTTTGCGCCGGTTTCAAAATCGACTGGCGCCATTCAGATCCCGCGCGCTATCACCGGGATCGATATCCGGCCATGGCATCCGGCGTTTCTCTTTCTCCGCGATTCGCGGGGTGTCTCGTTCGAATTATATGTCCCGGACGACAGTCTCGACGTGAATCGCGCGACGTCGCGGCGCACGAGACGAACCGGGCACGCACGCGACGTAAAAACCGACTGGATGCTGGAGCCGGAGGCCGGAGGTACACTCACGCACACAAGCCTCCCTCGCAGCGAGTGCCGAGTGGACGCAGTGAGGGGAGGGGACGAGGGCGCGCAGCCACACGTAGCTACGTTCGTGCACCTGCGGGCATATGTGCGCCGTGCGGGCCTGTTCTCCTCTCTTTCTCTCCTACCTCCTACCGTCTCTCCCTTCGTCGAGGATTCGAAAAATCGAGGCGCGCGCGGAAAAGAGAGCGCGCGCCCGCCGACTCGTTCTCACCGCCCTGGCGATCGCTCGCTCGGTCTGCCTGACGCGCTTCGACTGAAATTGAATCGCGGCAGCCTCCTACCACGCGGTCCTCCGCCGCCGCGTCGCGCCGAGCCGGCCACCACACCACTAACTAACCACCGCGCCGCGCCTCACCCCTCGCCCTCACCTCGCCTAGCGTTGCGCCGTTGCGCCGTTGCGCCGATGCGTGCGAGGAGCCGCCGGCGCGCGCCGTTGGTTGGTAAACAAAACGTGTCCCCGCGGGAGATTAGCGTCGCGCGACGACCAGCGACGACGCCAACGACGTCCAAACGTTCGAGACTGATGATGTAACGGGTGCGCACTGCGCGCACGACCCCCACGACGCGGACGCGAACGCGACTAAATTTATCGCTGCGCGACGCGCAACACCATCCGCGTACGATGTTACGGAACGCGACAACTTCAGACCGTAAACCGTAACGTCTCCAACCGTCAATATGGCGTTAGCTTGTAAAAATGAAAACGTGCAAACGTACGCTTTACGTTTCTCGATCGGATTAAGATCGATTGAAGATCGTTCGCTTGCACTTGCTGCACGTACTAATGGTATTTTTCGCTCTTTCCTTCCTCTCAGCGCTTGTATCATTTTATAGAAAAGAGAGCGAAAGTAAAAAAAACAATAAGCCTTATTTTGATTTCCAATGTACCTGTTTCTGAATGCCGAAGGTGGGAAAAAATGAACGTGCTTAACACGTCAAATTTGTTATAAATAACAATGCTGCGCCGAATAAAATATACCCCCTTAACTTTGTCACGAGAGCATTGCACGTAAAACGAATCGATTTTCGTTTAACGAGGAACGGTCTTTGCGAAACGCGATATTGCCGCGCGAGTCGCGAGACCAATTAACTTCGCTGCGCTTTTACGCGATATATTGAATAGGCGAGGTGCTGCATCGCGACATCCGGTGTTTCTTCAGGCGAAAGCCATTGTTTCCCGCGCGAGAGAAGAGAGAACTCGTCGGACGCGTAATCGGAAGCCGCAGAAGGTGCGCGTTCGCGATAAGAAATCGCGGAACGCGTGATTTATATCCGCGATCCGCGCGACGTCGCCGTCGCCGGCAGTCGTTGACAGAAGCGTCCTAAAGACGCGCGGCGTCGCCGATACGTTTCCTTCCTCGCCTATAAATAACACGAAGACCTATTAGAAAGCGCATTTCTACGCCGATCGCGTAGCATGTACGTACGTCCCGATCGGTTGCATAACGCCATGCGTCGCCATGTTATTTGCCGTTCGATATCCGTCGAGGCTCGATCTTCGACGCTTCGAGGCTTCAAGGCTTGTAAACGCGCTCGCGGCATCGGCATCGCGAATGCCCTAACGCGTAAATATGCGTGCCTATTCGGGACTATTTCGTATTTAGATATTCACGACTTCGACGATAATAATTTAATGTGTAATAATTACGTCCTTGTTGTAATAATATGATAAAATGTAATATAATAAAAACATCAACATATGTATATAATAAAATGTATATATGTATAATGTTATTGATATTATTAGAAATCAATGTTATCAGATATAAGTGTGCCAGAACGATCGAGGTGTAACCCTTCTACGACAAACTTTATGTTAGACGTGATTTTCAGCACGCACATATCGCACTCTTTCCCATTTCAATTTAATCGTTAGATGTTGCTGCCGTTATTGACATTATAAACGAGCAGCGGCCACCAGCTTTCCTGCAACTCGCGTGTGATTCACGTCTCTTGTGTTCTCAATTCTCTGCGGCACGATTAAAAGACACTGACGACGTCCATTTAACCGCGAAAACATTCGTAAAGTCTATGAAAGGAATAAGGAATCTGTGGAATGGAAGATTTGTCCGGTTAAAAAGCTGCGATCTGTTAGTTCGCAGCAAATATACATATAGGATTTACGACGTTAAGTTTTCCACGAAAACGTGTGTTGAGTTAGGCATATATGTAAATCCGATTTCGCCTACTCTCCTCAAACTTTGAAGATTCTGATAAATTCGCCATCTGTAGAATTTTCACGTGCTCATTAAGATTAGAAATTTGCGATAGTTGTCATAAGAGGCCGCGGACAGAGAAGGATCGCGTTTAAAAGGATCGCTCGTCGAGGATTCAGCGGCTGCTACTTGTCTTGAGAAAGGTTGGTGAAATCGACTGCTAATCTACGTTTTTCCTTTCGCCGAGAAGTAGCTATTCAACGTGAAATGAAGTCCGAATCTTGGTGTGCATTTGTACACAAATTGAAGCTTGGCGGAAGCGACATTCGCACCTTTCACCCTTGATCCCGCGCCGTTTCTACGATTTCTTCTACGAGTTCTCATCGTCTGTGTGAGAAGTGCGCGCGGCCTTGCGCAGCTTACACGGCCTCGTCCAAGATGCTAAACAAGATATACGCTGTATAAACGTACAGAAATGTGAATACCAAAAATCTATACGATATCTTTCTGACAAATACGAGAAATGCTGTTAATGCTGAAAATGAATGGAAAATCCTACGATTCTCATTGATTAGTCAAGTGTATATTTCTAATATATTTTCTTTATTTAATCTCCAAACTTGTTTCAAATCTAAAGATTACTCTCGAAAAAATCATGTATAATAGAAATATTGAAAAACTTAAAAAGCTTGGGCGACTTTGGCCAATTAACTTGATCGGCGATTAATTTAAATAGCAGAATTTTATTTAAAGAAAAACTTATCATCATCGTTTAACCATCGTCCCTAATCTAATTTTTTTAATCGGACGCAAATCGAAATTAGTCGGTGTAGAATGTAAATAAATCTGGCGTACGCCAGGCGAGTTAACGGAGGTGTGATCTGTCGGGTGCTCGGAGTACTAAGCGGCATATCGACAAGAAGGCAAAAAGGGCGACATCTTTCATTGGTGTCTGCCGGCTGCCCGACGGGCCGACGCCGACGAGATTTTTTGGTAATTTCGGAGTAATCTCCGGAGTCCGGAGTCCGCGGACGCGGAATCACGCCTCACGCCGGCCGCGTGAAGTAGATGGCGCGTGCGAGTGCCGCGGGCCGCGGCTACGAGAACGGCGGGTCAGCCGTCAGGCGGGTGGAATAATTCGCTCCGGCTTCGAGCGACGAGCACGTCGAGCACTACCACGCACCACGCACGAGTATGACAGATCGGAGCAGAGACCCGGAGTCGACCGCGAGCACCGCTGCCGAGCAAACGGGCGCGCGACGGAAATCCAGGCGTGGAAACACGAGCGGGAAACTCGCGACGCTTCTTCGGCGATGCGAGGGCAGTCGGCGTCAGGAGTACAAGAGGGAGGATCCGACGAGCGACACCAGGTCGACGGAGCACAGATTCAAGGGTCCGTCGAGCAGCAAGCTGTCATTCCTCGATTTCGTGTGCAATGTCAAGAAGCACCTGCTACTGAAGAATCTGTGCAAATCCAAGAAAAGGGTAGGCTCTTTTTACTATTTTTTCTCCTCTCCATGGCCATGGTTCTTTGTCTGGAGCAAGATTTCTTTTTTAATCTTCTTCTGCTTCTGCGATGCTCTTTGTTTTTCTTTACAACATATGCCTTCGTGATCTTGTCTGAAATCATTGTTCCTTTTCAGAGCAAAGAGACAGAAACGACGAGCCCTTGCTCTGGCTCAAAGCAGAACAATGTTATCTCTGTCATTGAATCTCTCAATTCATGTCAGAAGCAAGACGTGTCAACTGACGAGCAGGCCTTGTTGTCGGATAGAAGACTTTTGTATGAAGCCAGATTAGGTGACGTACTTGAAAATTCCCACTACAGTATTGAAGGAAATATAGCTAACATTAGCACGCAATATGGTTCATCTGGCACAAATCTTCATACAGTTCCTACGAGACAGCAAGCTAAATTGATAAGCGACATTGCGACTGTCAACGATGCAACGGTAATGCAACCTACCTATTCTAATACAATGGTGGCAGTTTCTAATGCAATAGCACAAGTCCCTGGCAGTGTAAACGAAACGTTAAATAACGAACATAAAGTCAAAGCAAGTCTCGCAAAAGAACTGCTTAATCTAAGTAAATATGGATGGTATTGGGGTCCCATATCAGGAGACGAAGCTGATGCCAAACTCATATCTGAACCAGATGGTGCGTTTCTGGTTCGGGATTCGTCAGACGACAGGTGCATATAACAAATAATTTACAGGATTTTCTATTCTCATATATATATGTTAACATTCTATGATTATCTGTAGGTACGTCCTAACACTCAGCTTCAAATCATCTGGAAAGATGCTGCATGCGCGTATGGAGCACAGCGGCGGCCTATTTTCTCTCTGTAATCAAAGCACCGAGAACGAAGGCTTTAATTCGGTGGCTGCTTTAATAAATCACTCCATGAACTTCAGCCAGTCCGCCGTAATATGTTACTCGAGGCCAAAATATCCGGGATATCCGTCGTTCCCGGTCAGATTAACGAAACCAGTGAGCAGATTCACGCAAGTAAGGAGTCTGCAATATCTTTGTCGTTTTGTCATTCGTCAGTATATTAGATTAGATAATATACACAAGTTGCCTTTGCCAAAAACTATCAAGGGATATATTCAAGAAGCTCATTATTAAAATCTAACAGATAAAAAAATAAAAAATGTTGAGATTAATAATGAACGTATTTTTATCAAGATACATATTAATACAAAAAGAGTGGTGTAGAATAGACTTTTATGAAATGGCAGTAAAAGTATGTATATATGTATGTATATGTATATACCTATACGTATATACGTACACACGCACATATATGTGAGAAATCTTTTTATCCTCGGTATATACAATATATATATATATATATATGTATATGTTATACCTTGTAAAAATGTTTTCAAAAATATTTTCCTCAAATCATGACGTATCATTATTCAACATCAAAAAATATAAAACAGATAAAAATTTATAAAAATTGAATATTAACGTTGTTTTTTTAAATATTACGTTATTGAATGAAAAGAGACTATTTCATATTTATTAAAAGTTATGTAATCCTAGGAGAAATTTGCAATAAAATTTCTATAAGTTAATTATCGTAGGTAAAGAATTTGACTTTTTCTGCTATCTTATAGTGTTATAGTAGCAGAATATGAAGAGTAGCAAAATTTTTATATAGCTGACTCCAGATGATTATACTTAATTATGATAATATGCAGGGTAAACGAATCATTGTTTTTTAATCTATTGTTAAAAGAATGTTGATATAGCTTTATGTAATCAACAATTTATATCTTTATATTTTGTACGGAGATAATATAGATTTACGACCTATTTTATTGTACAGATTTTGTTAAAATATATTACTGTATAAAATAAAGTAGCTATATCTGCTAATGTTTCCTTTCTCAACATTGATTTCTAATGCAGAAAATCAGGTTCCCAAATAAAATAAACGTTTCTCTTAATTTTAATAAGAAAAGTCTTAATTTTATTTATTCGAAAACATCTATAGAAATTCTTCTCTTAAAATCTTCTTTCATTAATCTATCTCTTTTTTTCATTAATTTAATCCAAGTATATTACGGGCCTAGAACAGAAAGGTAATTATATGTACAGTATGTATATATATATAAATCAAAGATGGCTTAAAATTTTATTTATAATCGATCGGAAATAACTATACCGTTATAAAAACAGCAGTACCAGTCTCCGTAACACGATTTAGAGCTTCATCTGGCTTGTTTGAGCTGGAAAGCATCATTTGTACTTGTAAAGTATCCTGTATTCGTCTCTCTAAGAACAGCCAAGTTTCTTTGTGGTCTTCACTTCTATCTTGCAGCATGTACAATTCAGTGGATTTGTAAATAGTCGCCAGTATCATTCTCCTGATATACCAGTTAATCTAATCAAAGTAATGTACTCTATTTAAACAGCACATATCCGAACAATATCTTTCTTATACTAACAGATAAACATTAGCGATACGACGTACATCAACAGACCTATCGCCAGCATAATAACAAATATCATCGACTAAAGTTAATAAATTTGCCAAAGCGGTCGGTACGTTCGGTGGCAGGGTCATAATAGCCATTGCCTGCGGCCAGCTTTTTTTGTAGGGGATCACCATTCTCAACCGTGTTTCCACGGCGTCACGAACTTGTTGCTCTGGCGTCTTCCGTGGACTCGAGGAATCTGTTTCGATTACCATTGCTTCTTTCTCCAGGATTTGATTTAATTCCCGATTACATATAGAATAAAAATATAGCACTAATGCCGCGCTACCATTTGGAAACAGTCCGTGTATCACGCCTGGATATCCAACCGACTCAGCACCTTCGGCATCGTAATTTTCAATTACATCATTTTTATATGGACAAACAATAATTAATAAAACTTAGTATATAACGAAGTTTGAAATACAATTATATATAATTTATACATTTAAAAATAATAATTACCAAAAAATTGTTCAATTTAAAATACGAAGTACATTTTTTATATACTTTTTCAAAGACTTTTGTTACAAAATATGTTTCAGATATTTTCCACATCTACAAAGTTTTTATGTACCGATTAATTTCACGAAAGGATCGATTTCGTGATAGAATGCTGATTAACATTGGGTTATAATTTTCAAGACAATAATCATGTATAAAAATTATTAAATATAAAATTTTTTTATTTTTATTTTTAAAACATGTTTCAAATCCGTTTCCGTCAAAACTTTGATTTAATTTATTAATCTATTTTTCATAGGACATGTAAATCGACATTACATTTTATTTTTCATAATGCTCAATGGTTTTTTGTTATAAACTACATCTATTTCTCAAGACAGTATAAAAATTAATTAGAAGAGATAGCATATAAAAATAATCGCTCAAATTACCAGCACTGATAGCTTGTTTGCTCCATCCCATATCAGGAACAAATTTTAAAGAAGCACTAAGTATTTTTGTCTTAATGTTTTTCTCATACTCTTCGTCGTTCTCTTCGTGACCAGATTGTTGCGGTTCTGCATTTCTATTATCATTTTCAGATTGATCGACTAGCAAAGCTCTGGAAGTCCATAAACATCTAAAACCTGATAAAATCAATATCTACTTTTAAAATCATCTACATTAGATATGCATTATACATAAATATATGTTATATAAGAATAATTCATGTTAATATAATTTTAGTATAATTCTTATCACTCATACATAATGTACTAGTAAAACAAATACAATTTAGAAAATTTTTTTATTAAATCTTAAACAATTACAATTTTATAGTAATATGTTTCATAGTTTCATTTTCATAGTTGATTTTATTTCTACTCAGTACATTCATCAGACTTTTGCGTAAAATTTTCATTCATATTTATGCATTCATTAACTCGTATAAGGATGCTTTCCATTACATCTAAACCATTTAGCACTTGATAACAAATGCAAGTTTTTTGAGAGAGTGACATAGCTGGTAATTGTTCACTGCCAACGGTCAGTGTAATTTCCATGTTAGCCTTCATTAGCTTGCTATAATCTTCTTCTTTAACTAAATCCTTTTTCTGTTGCTCCAAATCTTTTGTCTTCACTCTCCAATGTGCTTTGCATAAATCTATCCCTTTTCTCAACGGATTTAGATAATCATTTTTTAGCATATCTACCATATTCCAAATACCCGTCTCATTGTTCTTATCTCTGATAAATAAAAATCTCAGCAAGTTCAGCGCAGTGATGATTTCGTCTGACATTTCCACCATATCAGACGAACTTCCATGTGGCAGATTGCAAACCTTCTTCAATAACAATTCCATATTTCTTCCGAGAAATTGGGGATTTCGTGGAGTTGAATCGAGACATTGAATGATAGAAGATTTAAAGATGCCAGTGATGAAACTCAGCAGGCCAGAATGTTCAACAATCTCGTACAAATGCAAAATAATAGTATATCTAGCTTCCATGTTAAATATCTCTATATATTCTTGAAAAACGCGTGCTGCCTTCTTCCGTTGCTCATCATTATTAGAGTAAATCATCACTTTAGTGATTGGTTGAAACAATTCTGTATATATATCTAATTCCAACACCTTAGAATCTACAGAATGAGGTGAAATGCGTTTTATAACGTGTTCCATGAAAATTAATCCATTGGGGATTGAACAATCTTTGCTAAGCAATTTTTCGAAAAAATATGCACACATTTCAAGGATGTAATAAGAATTATATACTTGCGGTACATTTACCCAATAGTTTTCTTTGGTAATAACATAAAAGTAAAAATTGGCGTAGGCCATATTCGATATGTTAAGAGTCCAGATCTGATCATGCGGCACTGCGCGGCATTGCGCTTTGAAGTAGGTAGGTCGTCTTTTACGTTGGCTAACAGTATCCAAGGAATATAATATATCTCCGGTGAGGCGAAGTGCTTGTGTCACTATATTATCCACGAGTTCTTCATAGACAGGTTCTTCACCGATGTATTTGTTCAAGCAGCAGAAGGGTTTCCCGCACAGAAAAATAAAAAAGCTCAAGAGGTAGTCCCCCAATACAGATCCTTCCTCCTGCTTAGAGTTTATATCTATCGCCTCTTCCACCAACGGCTCTAGGAACACTATGACTGCTTTATATGTATGTATAATTCCATCACTAGCTGCTTCCGGATCATCAACTTTATCTGGCAGTGATAGATTCAAGATATACATCTGAAATCGCTGCAAGCACCAATCGATGACTTTGCCCTTGTTCTCTATCCTCATTATGCAAGAACGCATTGTATTCAAAATAGCACAGAAATTCACATGGTCGCTCGTGTGCGGTACATGGTTTAGGAACTCCAGTATGGTTATCTTGGGATCACAATTCTCAGCTATGAACATCAATACGTTTGAAGAGCATTCAAACGCTGCTTTCTTGTGTTGTAATACAGAGCTCGTGAGATTCAAGACAATGACAGACATAATACGGCCCAAGCCTTCTTCAGTGACCGAGGAATCCGCCTTTAAAAGCTCTATAGCTTTCTCGGTGTTACACTCGTCCAGAAAATTGGTGATCTGATTGACAAGTTGCGTCATCATATTGGCCATCTCACCAAGCTGACAACAGTAGAAACATAAAAATGCAGATAAAATTATTCTTCGAAAAATATATTTCTATATTCTGTACCTTCTATACGTATATGTATTTACCTTTTTATGTGACAATATCAGGTACTTTCTTCTTTGTTTGCGAACTTTTCGTCAAAGAAATACTGACGCAGATGCGCGTTTCCCCTGTTTTCATTCCTGAGAAAGAAACATCGAGCACGACGTGTCTTTCTCGAAAAATCTTCGTGCGAGCCGCGAGGTTACGTCTTCGCGAAAGGGCGTACGTTACACGAAATGACGGACCCTTCTATTTTTCACGTGAAAGGGCGTTCACGGAATGGAATCTAATGACGGTCATGTAAGATTGAGAGCGATACGAAAATTCCAGAGAAAAACTGTCTGGAATGGAAAGAATTCGTGGGAGGGAACGCAGGATCAGACGCGATACGTGACAAGCTTGGCCGTCGGCAGTGTCGGCACAAGTCGCCAACAATTCGCTTACCGGCTACTGCAAGTCTGCTCCGCGCCGAGCGGAATGAATTAATCATCGCCATATCGCCGAGTGTCCCAGTCTCGAGTTCCTACTTCCTACTGCGTGACTGCCAAGGATTCTCCAGTGTATCGTACAATTCGTGCATGTTACTGTTCTCGAGGCGCGATTAGAATTTCGCGAGGCGACCACGTTTGGCTGCGTTTGGCGGTTGCGCCGCGGCGGTTTTAAGACACGGAAATAAGGACGCGTTGTTCGAGCGGATGCGCATTCCTCGGAGCAGCCTTAAAACGAGCAATAACATGGACTTCGTGTCAAGCGTTAATTATGTTTTTTGCGAAATCAACAAAATGTTAGACACAAACTTAACCTAACATTCGTAAATTTAAAGAGATGCATGATGCATGGCAGGGCATAGGGATCACGTGGGACTGGACCAATTAGAGAACAGATATCTTTGCTTTTTTTGTCCCGACTGAGCGCGTAGCGTGGATTGGCTGCGTTTGTTCGCGATTTACCGTCGCGACCAATGAACTCGCGTGCTCACGTCAGAGCCGTCTGCTGAGTTTTGTTATGCGTGTCTCTCTCTTAACCTCAAACGCGCTCTGCGCGACAGCGATTTTAACGGTAATTTAACAGCTGAAGAGACCTTGTCACGCTTGATTAAATCAAACGAGAAGATTACACCGGAATTTGATTCCTCTCGAAATGGGCGATTCAGACGAGGAGAATTACGCGACGTTCGGCGTTCCTCTTGATCCCTTGGACGAAGGTACGCAAACGGGATAAAGTACCGTGCCTAAAGCACCATATATCCTTTGCATTGTGTTATATCAAAAAGTTTTAATCTTGCAGAGAACATCCCGCGAAAGAAGCCCGTTACGATCGAGGATCAATTTGCCTACGACGCCCAAGGTAGACGTAGGTTTCACGGGGCGTTTACAGGCGGTTTCTCAGCAGGATATTTCAACACTGTCGGTACTCGCGATGGATGGAGACCGCAACAGTTCAAGTCTTCCAGGAGTAGCAAGGCGGATAATGTCCTTCAACGACCGGAGGACTTTATGGACGAGGAGGACACCGGTCTGTTCGGGATTGCTCCTAAAGGTATTCGAGCTACCAGCGATTATGCTGATCATGGACAGAGAGGAAAGAAGAGGGAGAGGATAACTCAAGAAGGACCTATTCCTGGTACTCCCATCTTAAAAGAGCTTCTAAAACCTGTCAAGTTAGTATTTGCAAAAATTTATAATGTCATTTAATCTGTGCTACTTTGAAATTGAACGTGTTGACGGCATGTTTTTGTCTGAAAAAGAATCAAATAGAGCAATGTATTAATTATTTGCCAATATGCTCGATTTGAGCTCCATTTAGATTTAAAGTTATATTAATTTTCATATTACTTGTGTAATTGCAGAGAAACAGTAGGTATCATCCTGCTCAAGAAAATGGGTTGGAAACCTGGCCAAGGTGTGGGCTCCAGACTGACGAAAAAAGAAAAGCAGAAGATAAAGCTACGTAATGAGAAATTAAGATTAGGGCGGAATAATCTCGAAATGGTAGGGAGCAATTCTGAGGATTCCGATGATGACTCTACCAATATTACTTTTGCACCTGATGATTATGAGCCATTCAGATGCAAGCCAAAGGACAATTATTTTGGCATTGGTTATTCGGGTCTAGACAGGCGGAAAGTCCTTTCCGGTCATATCAATCTTTTTGATACCCCGGCATTTTGCGTCAAGGATAAAAACAAAAAATTGTCGATTCACGGACAAGCGTTTGGAGTTGGTGCTTTTGAAGCTGACGATGAGGATATATACGAGAGAGAAGACATGTCGCGTTATGACTTTACTTTAGGTCCCGAACGTAAGACTAACAATAAGACGAGGTGGTCCCAAGAAGGCTCGAGTAGCTCGCAAACCGATTGCCTTGAGGGTTTTATCCGCGCGAAGGAGAGACTTGAGAGCAAGAAAGTTTTTAAAGCTCCAGAATTACCAAAGGATTTTGCACCAGTGCACGCTATTAGGAAAAGCAGATTTTATCCGCCGATTGCAGCCCCAGTAGATAATAAACGTAAGGAGCCATTGAATGCCATAGATAGAGCGCGGATTTTAGAAGACTCCGATGAACGTTTCAAGAAACCACAGGCTTCTTCAAGTACATCCGTTGCCGCTAATATTATTTCAAAAACCTTGAATTTACATGGTAAACAACAAACGGAGGAGAGAGAAAACGTGGAGAGTCAGCGGAAGACGACAGGTAACTCTTGGTTGGATAAATTGAACGTGCAAAACTTTGTCAAAGGCGCCATTGTCGGTTCGAGACCGGACGATACAGGTAGTTTAAAGAAGTTGGAAGATTTTAAAGAATCTTTGTCGACATCTGCGCAATCAAACATAGAAAAATCGACGGAAAGCGATTCCTTGAAGAAGAGTGAAACAAGTAAATTGTTCTTGTCTAATCCGGATAAACAGAAACGATTCGAGCAGTATCTTATCTTCTCGAAGAACGGTGAGAAGGACAAGTTCGAAAGTATTCAACCACTTTCTATGACCGATTGGGAGAGAGAGCAAGAACGCGAGGAATTCGAGCAAGCGACAAAACTGGAGCAGTCGAATACGTATATGGCAGACAAGTTTGTACATAGCGCTGATCATACGACGGACAGAATGGATCCGGAAAAGGACGTAAAGGAAGCGGTGAGATTGAAAATGTTTGGCAAACTTACGCGACAGCGAAGCGAATGGAAACCGGCGAGTATCGTTTGCAAGAGATTCAATATTCCCGAACCAAAAGTTGGCTGTGCGACGATTGCAACGGATCGGAAATCGGCGAGATTCTCCGTTTTTGATTCTTTGGATTGGTGTAGTTCATCGAAATTCACGAAAGCTACGGATACAGTTGAGACACAGGTGGAAGAAGTTACCCGATCGAAGGAGAAAACGGAAGAAAATATAAACAAAACGATTTCCAACACTGGTTCCAATAATATTCCATCTAACATCTACCAACCTTCAGAACCCATCTCTGAGAAATTTAAAATCTTCGAAGCTTCCTACGAAAAAGTTTTCGGCAAAGGTATTCCTTCCGCAACGTCGAAAGATGTCAAACAGGATGTGAGAGATAATTTAGAAGATAAAACAGGATTAGAAGAGAAAAAAGAAATAGATTCCGAGCCGGTATCTGTGCTTAAAGATCAATCAGAAGAAAAGAAGGATCTATTCAAAGCAATTTTCCTCAGCAGCAGCGAAGATTCCGATAGCGAGACGGAGGATAATGTTGACAGCGAGACTGTCAAATCGATTTTGATCGGGAAAGATCCGAAAGAGTTAAATGTGCAACGCAACACATCGCCACCGCGAGGTATCTTCGCGAAATTGGATCTCGACAGCTTGGTGACGCAACCGAAATGCATTAATGATGAAAGTACGACTTGTAAAATTTCGGAAACTAGTTTGCCAATTACCGGTGAATCGCGGAACGATGCCACGGATCATAACGATGTAATTGATGACGCAGAGATTGCAGTACTGCCAGATATGTATGGTCCGGTTCTGCCTCAGAGATTGTTGAAACAGGACAACGCTGCAACGACGACAGAAGCTGATAACGCCAAACAACTGAAACCAGTATTTCGAAGCGTCGTGGTGTCGAAAACTACGGAGGATTCGAAACTCGGCGGAAAATGGGTGGAACGAGACAAAGTGAAAAAATCGAAGAAGAAACACAAGCATAAGGAACATAAAAGCCCTAAACACAAGAAGAAGTCTAAGAAAGAGAAACGTTCGAAACGTTGATTTCTCCCTATTTTCTCTTGGGAATTCAAGCAATATAAATGATAAATTGATTTATAATCGCCTGATGGAAATACCTGTCAAAGAACACAACACAATTGTATATAAGAATGTTCGAAATACTTCATACTTCATACTCAACTAAAACTGTTCCATATATTTATTAATTAATGTTTATGCGCTTACTTGGCGATACATATATGTACATCTGTAACATAGACTGAAAATATATAATGTTTGAACTGTGATCTACAGTTCTGAGCATGTTAACGAATCTAACACGATTTGCAATCTGATACAAGGTATTTAAAATGACTCTAGGATACAGTCGGTAAAACTTTATACATTATATTTTCCAATAATTGTACATTGTACAAAGGATATGTATATTTTACACACACTCATGATCAAGCACGAGCCATCTTTTATTTGTGAAAACATTTTTTCGTAAAGTGGATGTATTAAACGAGGACTACTTGTTCTGGACATTAAGACGTTACACATGTCGTGGTTTAAGGATTTAAGTAAATCGATTGGACGCTATTGACATACAAGAATACACGTGTATGTATTATTTTTTTCTATCAACGAAATCATTCCGGTGTGTAATACCTAAATACGAATTTGAGCAGTCTGCCTTTTTATTACAACGTTGTCGAATGTAATGTTATTTTCACTCAAAGGAAGTGATCCCATGTGAGCCAAAGTATATTAAATCTCTTCAAGATCGCACACGTGGGATTATTAATCCGATGTCATGGAGTTCCTCGAAGCAGGCCTGCTGGAATTGCCGGTTCCAGTCTTTTTCTCTACGCTGAAAAGGTATCGTGACATTTATTAAATATTGCTACATTTTCATTTTTTAACAATAACAATAAGTTATTTTATACATTTTTACTTATATTAGATAATAATTTAATTTGCAATTTTTTGGCTTACCTACTGCTTCTTGAACCTCTTTTGAACATGGCTGTTAATTTCTTCTTTAGATTCTTCTTTTCCATTTTAAGAGTTTCGTTGATGCTGGTTTCAGATCCAGATGTCTGTCAAGCATTCAGTCATTTTAATATAAATCACGTTCTATTTGAATAATAGTAATTCCGAATATTTAAATATCTTCTTGCCTGAAGTGAGTAGTCAGTCATGTTCGGGTCATCGACGCTGGACGATTTAGTTAACTTGTGTGTTAATTTTCGTATTATCCCCTTGCCATATTTCTTGTCCCGCTCTAACATTTCGCTCTTTGTCGATCCTCCGGAAAGGCGGCTAAATATAACAATTATCAAGTATATTCATTATTCTATCGATATACTCCGAAAGATGTTGACGTGATGTTACGAATGTTATTATTTTGATACCTGTCTACGCTGGAATCTCTCTGTCGACTAGTTCCACGAGACTCGACTTCCGATCCCTCTAATGATTGCATGCTCGACAAGTTACTGTCCGTGCCCGTGCCCCAAATAGCTGGAGACTATATTTTATGCAAAAGTTAATAATATCTCATCTCATCTCACAAAGAATTATTTCCTATAATTCATGAAGAGACCTTCTGTATATGAAGCATCTTGTACTTACTTCTTGACGAGGAGACGTTTGTTCCAAAGAGAGACTCTTTCTTTTCAAACGTGGTTTACCGCGATTCAATACTACTCCTTTCCCTGGATCGCTTTCTACTGATGTCGCTCTAAAACAGCAAAGTAACATTTTTCACGTTCTCAATAGTTTGACAACAGATCAGACGGATTATAAATCGCGAAATCTCACCTTTTTCCCAATTTCTTCAACCGCATTGCATTCGCTTCATCCGACGTTTTCTTCGAATCTTTAAGCTCTTTCGCCACGCCCATTAATTTTTTAATAGTGTACTCTAATTTTTCTGTTCTTTCGCCGAGTATTGGAGTTACGGCTGCAAACGCGATTACACATGGTTTGAAATAATATTATTATTAATATTAAATTATTTATATTCAATATAAATCAATCAAGTTTTTATTACAGAATACCTTTTACGTCGCTTTTTGTTTCCAACATTGGCGATGACTCCCTCGATTTTGGTCCCTACGAATAATTGTACATTTTTAAAGCTTTCGTAGTTTTGAATGATGTTAATAATTGTCATAATGTTTTGTCGCTGCTAATATTATATGCGAATGTAGATATTTTATACTTTCAATCGCCTCGGCGGAGTTGGCGTATATACATCGGGCGTTCCGTTCTCCGTTACGGTATTTAATTCAGGAAACAGCTGTAGCAGATCCTGTACTTGTTGCATAAGGATGTTAATGTTCCGCATTTCCGTTTGTTCCAATTTACATTTATTTAATATAACTTCTTTGAGTTCCTGCCTCTCCTTCTCGTGCCGCTCTTTTTCACGTCTCATTTTCTCGTTGCTCGTTCTTAATTTCGCGTGCGCGTCTCGCAGCTCGAGTAGGTCGCATTGCAACTAAAATTGATTAATTTCGATGTAAAAAAAAAAAATACCAATTTTTTAACGTATTTCCAAAATATATGTGTACGAATATTTCGATCGGCAGTATATGACTTTCAGTTACCTCCGATAATTTTTTCTTATTTTCTTCCTTCTCCTCGTCGAACACTTTCTTTAACTGATCTTGTCTCCGTTTATTTTCAAGCCGCTCTTTGCTGCGTTCTCTTTCTATCTGCAAACATAATACTCGTAAAGTCGTAAAAAGTTTGAATTGGCTATGTCATCTTATTTATATGTTACGTTGCTAATCAGTACTTCGAATAACGTTTGTCGCAAATCTCGCGCTAACGTTGCCGTTTCTTGCAGTAACCTTTGATGTTCTTCTCTCTCTTTTTGCCAAGCCAATTCCATGCGCACTTTCAATCCTGGAATCTTCGAACGTCCGCTAGTGAGCAATCGCTCCTCTTCCATCTGCAATCGTAATGAATAAATGATATAAACAAATAATATAAATGATATAAACAAATCTAGAAATTTATTATTTGCATCTAATAAATCTAATAAATCTAATAATAATTACCTCGTTAATTCGGGACTGCAGTTCAGAAACTTTGACGTGACTAGCTGATTTTTCCGAAACCAATTCAGCCTTCAGCCTGGAAGCTTCCAGTCTTGTTTCAGAAAGTTCGTCTTCCATACAACTGATTTGTTTTTCTAACACTAACATGTTGGCTTTCGTTGATTCTTCATCCTAGAATAAAAGAAAAATATATATTTTGTAATAGAAGAAGAATTAATAGTAAAGAGAGGATAGTAATACGATTCTATGACCAGTAATAAGAATATTTTCAAAATCTTTAAAAATAGCTTCAAGGATATCAGTATAACAATATCAAAGCACATTAATTTTAAATTATATTATTAACTACTCACTTCGTCTGATTTTCCCGAAGATGCATTAGAGAGTCTACCTTGTCTCGTGGACTTCAGCTCGCCTATAGTTTTTTGCGCGCCTTCCAACATGTGCTTGTAAGTGTCACGTTCGCGTTTGTATCGTGATAATTGGTTCTGGATTGCCTGTATCTCGTCGTTGATCGCTGTAATTCTATGCTCATAGCGCATTTTACACTGCGCCAGATCTGCTTTCTTGGCCTTTTCTGTATTTGTCAAGGCATTCTTTAATTTCCGGATTTCTGATTCTAATGCTGTAGTGTCGGGTGTCAACGCTTGATGAATCTTAGAAACTGCTTGATAATCTTTCAGTTTTGCAGATAAATCGTCATTCTATAAATCAAAATGATTTAAATTATATTATTTTTGAAGTGAGAATAGGATTAGAAATTTAAATAATTTTTTTTTTAGGATCAGCATATTCTTGCATATAAAGCATCAGCATATTCTTGAAACAGCAGAATTAAACATAAATAATATATAATATGTACTTACCACTTTTCTCACATCCTCCAATCGTTCCAGTAAAGTGGCATTTTCTTTCTTCAATGTATTAATTTCGTCATTCAGTTCTTCTACGATAACTTTGTTTGGCAATTGGCTGTCACGAATTTGGCCCTAAAATCGTAAACCAAGATAAAATTTTTCAAACAAGGATTTTTAATAAATAACTAACAATAACCTCTATACCTCAAGAGCAGATTTCTCTAATCGCCACTCGTTCTCTTTCATTCTCATCGAGTTACGTAACTCTTCAAGTTTGGTTTGTATATTTTTCAAGTCTTTCTTATGCTCCGAGCATTTGCTATAATAAAACATAGGATTAAATGATGAACGTTACATGAGGCATTTAATATTGCTGGCAGTGAATTCTTACTCCTCACATCGTTAGTGTCGAATTGCTGTTTACCTATTCAGAGATTCATTCTCCCTTTCAAGTTGTAGCTTTGAATTCGTAAGCTCTTGATATTGTTTGGTAAGTGTCTCTTGCTCGTGCTGATGTTTCTTTATCTCATTTTCGAGATCTGAAAATTTTATCACGTTAGCTCCACGATAAGTTTGAGAAATAAATTCAGAAATAAAGCAGAAATAAAATGTTGAGATCAGTAATATATCTTTTGATACTGTACTTAATATTTTTTCATTATAAGTTTCTTTCATCTCGTTCATGCGTTTTGTATTTTGCCCAGCCTTTTCTAAGGAAGTTATCTTCTTCTTGAGTGCTGCTACTTCGGCTTCCTTCGTTTCTTTCTCACTATTAAGTTGTGATGTTAATTTTTCTTTTTCTCGCTTAAGTTCCGTAAGCTCTGCAGTTAGATTCGTGATTTTCGTTGATGTGGTAGACTTTGCATTCTCTAATTCCTTCTTCAAACGTTTCACCTCAGCATCGAGCTTGGCTTTTGTCTGCTCAACCTGTTTTGTCGGAAGAAATCGGAAGAAATAATACGAGTATCGCAAGATAGATTATTAATTTATTCAGCTATAAATAATATTAAATGTTAAAATAAAAAAGATATTTACAGATGTTATCGATTGCGACATTTTCGATTCTCTTTCAGTATACGATGACAAATCATCCTGTAGTCTTTTACACTTTTCTTGTTCTTGCAAAAGTTTTTCTTTTACTTCATTTATTGTTACCTCCATCGTTGCCGCATCTTTTTCCGACGATTTAGCTGTTTCTGTAATTTAACAAAAGTCATATTTATCGATAGCTTTCATAATATTTATGAAATATAATAGATATATATTTTGTTTAATACAATTTGGAAATATAATTTAAATATGTCGAAAATATTTGAGACGTGTTAAGAAACTGTGATTTTATAATTAGATTAAAAATAAAGCTCAAGTTTTACCGAGATCTTTCTTTAGTTGTACAACCTCGTTATAAATTTTTAGTTTTTCGGCCGATAGCGACAGAAGTTTAGATTTCAATTTCTCCTTTTCTTCCGAAAGTGCCAGTTTCTCTTTATCCCAGGCTTTTCTTTCAGCTTCTCGTAAAGTATGTGCTTCATCCAACTTTCTCTTCACTGTAATAAGATTTAGAAATTAAACATATCTAATCTCACTGTTATTAATGCAAAATTGATACATTTTCTCTTCTACCATTTTGTAAATCCACATTTTTGGTATCTTCTACTTTTACATTTGGTTGAACTTTTTTCTTCTCTTTTTCGCTAGCTAGTTCTTTCACCGCAGATTCGAGTTTCTCTTTAAGCAGTTCATGTTCTTTCAGAAGTTTTTCGTATTTTAAATTATTATTATCTTTTGGTTTTACATCCGGTATATCTACATTGTGTCCATTTTTAATGTTGGTAAAGATGCTCAGCATGTCCTCTGAAAACATTGACAATCCGTTGAATGAAATATTTAACTTTCAAGAAATGTATAAAAACGCAGTCAATAAACCTATTTCCTTTTCCACTTCGTCAACCATCTTTTTAAGTTGCAATTTTGTTGTGGATTCTGTTGGCTTCTTTTGCGTTCTGTCCTGGAATGCGCTGCTCACTTTCTGCAAAATCTCTTCTGTTTTCTTTACCTAATGTAAATAGAGAGATTTTAGATACAATGTAATTTTATATTTGACGAATATAGTTGCATAGGACGTTAATCTCAATTATTAAAATATTATTATGTGCTATTAATTCAATAGAAAGAGGAATATTTGTTTTGTAATTATCACATATATTTACCTCTTCATATTTCTTCTCTAAAGCAGATCGCTCGTTTTCTAATTCTTCGGATTTACGCTCTACTTTTCGCAATTTGAACGACAATATTCGGCAATTTTTGTTCGACTGCTCCAAACTTTTTCGTAAACGAGTATACTCGTCTGCTTGTTCGTCCCTTATATGCGAAAATTATATTCGTATAAAGCACACTGTGATGCAGCGTAATCATTTGGATTTTATCACGTTTAAGTATCTCTGTTCCTCATAAAGATATGAAAGGATTTTCATACAAAATTTGCGAGGAAAAAGCGAGGTGACATTCTATAGTAGTGTTTTTTCTTAAAAAATTTCTCTTGTCAAATTTTAACATGAATTTTCTTATTGTTTCTTTGTTTTAATTTCTTCCTCGAAATTGGGACATTCACAAAAAATTAAATGTGATCCCACAAAAGTGAAAATAATCAAAAATCCCACTTTCCGTAACCGGCGAAAAACAAACGGGTGTCGTCCGTGTTGGGATCACATAACGTACATCTCAAATATGTCCAAACCGTTGTCCTGTAAACAATCCATATAGTTTATTTTGCAAGAGATTTTGCGTTGCATTGCCATGTGCATAACGATTCTGAACAAAACTTTTGGACGTGAAAAAAGTCTTTTCGTAAAAATTGCAATTTGACAATAATTTATTGAAAGGAACAGAGATACCGGTTTTGATATGTAATGTGCAATGTTAAAAAATGTCATTTATGATCATTTATTTTACACAAATAATGACGAGTCGTACTTCGCAATTAGTGATGATTTAAGTATAAATATATTAATGTGTCTGATTAGAATCTTTTCGTAGTATTAATAACCACACATATCAAAAATTGCCATTATTATCAGTTTTAAAACAAAACCATAACACTTGAAATAAAATAATATAGACACATAGACACAAAATAATGTTATTTTATAATTTTATTAAATATAAAATTATATGAAGAGTTATATATCTTTGTAAAAATACAACGAGTAGCATGCATAATATTACAATAAGGGATCTCAATAGGATATATCATGATATTCTTTGCGCAAGAAGATAATACCTAAAATTATCTTGCAATTCATAGATCTCTTCTTCTAATTGTCTAATTTCCTTTTTCATATCCTCGTTTTCGTCCATTAAGCTTTCGCAAAGGTTTTCAGCGGCTTTCAGTTTCGAACGTAATTCATCGTGCGTTTTATCCCTTTCACCCCTGTATGGTTTACCAGTCGTTTCTTTTTCCAAGCTTTTTATCTTTGCCAGCAATACATTTTTCTCTTGTACAAGTGCTAAAACACGCACGTGTACATGTATGAATTTAAAAGAAAATCTTTAGGCCGTATAAAAGATCATAATATAAAAGAATCTCTCTATAAAATAAAAAATGTCTATTGAATTTTTTCTGTAAACTTGGAAAAATGGATACCTTCGTTTTTCTTCTGTAGTTTTGCCACTTCGCCTGTCGACGTTTTGTTCGACATTGTTTCCATAGTCGTCAATCGGCGCAGTAATATCTCGCTTTTTTCTTTCTCTGCCTTCTCGCATCTCGCTCTCATATCGTTTAACTGAGACCTTAATTTTTCTATCTCATTCTGCGAGAAGTAAATTACCGTTAATTGGCATTTTTATCATCGAAATTACACTATTTATTTTTTAATCCTCTCAATTCTGATACTCATAAATAACAGAGATATTTAAACTGTGAAAAAAGTGAAATGTGCGTTTGAAGCACAATTTAATTTTTTTAGCTCATTGCTGCATGTACGCAAATTTTTTTCTGACAGAAAAACACGTCAGATCTGAGAGGTTTAAATACATATCGGATATACATACAGATATGTGCATTACCATATAAAACAAATATCAAAATCTTTTTTTAAAGAAATTTGTCTTTGAATTATATACAGACGTAACATCGATTTACATATAGTTAATATCTGAATAAGTTAATTAACATTTAAACAAAGTAGTGCATTTAATGAAAGTTTTGGGGTAGCATCGCGAGAATGCTTCATAATTCACGATATACGATATTATGAGTCTGGGTGTATATATAATTGCAATAGCACACAACGATAGGCGGCATATGATCGTTATTAATCGCAAAGTTTCCGTGGTGCGTCGAAGTAACGAAAGCGACGATCGTCTCACCTCCTCGATGTCTTCTCTCTTTACCGTGACATTATCCAGCCCGTCCTGGACCACCTGTTTTGGCGGTGCTGGTCGTGATTTCCTTACCTAAAGTAGGTGTGACAAATGAGAGCGCAAAATGGAATTTTACATTTGCTCACTCTTTTATCATTGAATGTCGCTACTCGCTACGCTACCGTCTGCTGTACAACTATACAAACTACAAGGCGCTTTTGTATAAAGAAGACGTTCATAAGCGTACATACGTGCGTGTTCGTATGTAGATGTGTGTGTGTGTGTTTTATTACGACGACATAGAGCAATCCATGCTACTAGTGGGTTAATTAACGAAGGGATACCTGAATAATAAATTCGACGTCGTTTTCCGAAGCGCCGCTGTTGTTGTTGCTTATCACATTTCTTATTTGAAGCTTTGCCGGTCTTCTAACGTCTGCGTCGACACGTAGATCCGCGCAATCGTAAATTAGCGTGATTTAAGGAAGAAAAAGAAAATCTAGCATTAGTTATTAATTTCAATATTAATGTGACGTTTTACCATCTCAATACTTCACTTTTATTACTTTCTAATTTGGAAGCGTCTTCTGCATTCTTATCTATAGCGGAGAGATCCATCAGGGATGTCCATCCAGCCGTCGCCGCCGATTGCGAATGATTATTATTCTTATTTTCGTCTTTCGCCAAATTCGTAGCGGAAGACCATGTTCTGTTGCTCTCGGATCCGCTTCAAAATTCATTCGTGACAACAATCAATGTTTCTATTATAATATTCACAGTTCCCCGCAACGATCAACGTATTACTACCGCGATGTACCACCTTGCAGATATTTTACTATAACTTACGCTTGTAACAAAGATCCGTTATATAACAATGGATATTTTGTGACGACGGAGAAACCTACCGTGTTGAATCTGAAGAAAGACTGGGGGATGAAGACGTGATGTCTCCGAGGCTGTTCCTTCTGCCGCCATGCTCTTTATAGTCCCTAAGAAGCAATTATTAATTCGAGATGCGCGTTTCTCACTGTCTTAGCTTCTGTTTCTTAAGCAATTACCTGAAACATCGTTTGCAACGCGTTGGCCACCGAACCTGCGGATGAAAACCCAGAGGGCAAAGAGGATCGCCTTTCTTAGACGAATACATGGAGTGCATCCTGCGTGCAAATCGTTTTTTCCGATTAGATTTTTTAAAAGTGTCTTGAAATAAAATAAATATACATTTATATTTTCGAGGAGAAAAAGAAAAAGTGTATAAAGTTCAATTTGCAAAATTCGTGAATCTAGCAGGTCATCTAATGGAAATAATATTTATTGGTGTTAAGTTTCTAAAGAGCAATTAACATATATCTATATATTGCTATCTATTGCTCATTCGATATTTAAAAATATCGCACAATATCACGAATTCTAAATGTTCGTTGATATTATTTAATTTGGAAAGAAATTTACGTAAAAAATGCACGAAAGGATTTAAATCAAAATTAGAGACAAAAGTGAAATCACGTGTTAGCTTATTGAGATATTTCTTAACTCGCAATTATACATTTCTACGTAATTTATTTGTTCCTTAATTACATTGCATGACTTTGCTGATATGCTTTGTGTATAATGGTATAGTTTTGTCTCTCGCAAGCGCGATCAAAGGAAAGAAACAGTATAATAGGAAAATTTAAATCCAGTCAGTGCGCTGCGAAACACACTTGTCAGGAAAATAAGACCTGCATTTCATTAAGTTCGCCGACAATGAGTTTATATCGTTGCAACTGCATATCTGCCGAGGGATTTATCATTATGAGTGAATTTAAAAAAGCTTGCAAAACAAAAAAGAGTTACACATTGAGTTGAGCACTTCAGTTTCACGTTGACACGCCTATTAATATTAAGAAGAATTCCTAATTGCGGTGAAAATTGAAATCTATATAATTCCAACGCGCTATTTTCCCGATGTAGTCAATAACGTACGTAACGCGAAAGTTATTGCTGCATGAGCGACGTTTGCAATTTTACAATCCCATTTAATGATCGTGCGAGATCTGTGACAAACATCCTAATAATTCACGTGGTGAATTCTTCTTCTATTCAAAAAATAGAAAGAAAAGAGTCGCGATAAAAATTTGCATGGAAAGTAGATTTTATCAATGAATTCGTCGCCAGCGAGCATTTATGAGTTGCATCGTCTTCACATATTTCTGACAATGCACACAGGCACACGCACACATTTAACAAGCGTGGCACTTGGAGAACCATGCGCACCGGCGGTTTATTTATAAAATTTCAATGCCACGCTGTCTCTTTCCCTTTTTTTCCATCCATCTTTTGCCTATGTAAAACGGAGGCGTCGGCGTCGGAGGCGGGCCAGAGAGGAGACCGGAAGGAACGCAAGGGATGGACTTAATTCGACGTTCTCCATTTGATCGCGATGCCTATCTATCTTTTACGCAATCCGTCGCGTCGGTTTTTTATACGATGCCTGCTACTCACTCGATCGGCGCCGATATTAACCCAAATGCGGCGGGCCGACGTGAATTAAATTTATCCTAGGCTGTTGCCGGTCGGTCGTCGCTCGGTCAGAAACGAGCGTTCGTCGTCGCGGGGCTCGTTGTCTCTTCCGTCCTGAATGAATACGGTAATCGCATCGTAATCGCGTAATCGGACGGCACTCGCATCGTAAAAGGGGAATAGGTTCTCGCAATCTCGTCCTTCCCCAGGTGACGGTCTTCCGCGTCTACCCGCGGATCTCGCTCATTTCTTCTATTTCTTCCTCCTCTTCTTTTTGCACGCGTCCGCGTTCGAGATTCCTACGCCGCGCGCGACGTCACTAATAGCACTGACACAGCTCCGCTATTACGGGGTTTGTCCGTTTTCCCCGTAGACTGTGTGCGGGTATACGGGCGGTTGGACCTACGCCAAGGTGTATATTTGTCTCTAGCTATAAATATAGGGAAGCGCGAAGACATCTTGAGCGCGTGTCGTATGCGTGCGTGCACGCGTCGCGGCGAAGCCTCGTCTTCATTCATTTTTTAACTTAATTGCGCGAACAGGAGTAACACGTCGCGATCGGACCTAGAAAACTGCGACAACCGGAGATATTTTCCCGTCACCGCTGAATATCCCGCTGGAAATTTCCTCGAACGGCTCGAACCCTTGCATTCCGAGCGATTTTTGCATTTATGCGCTTTTTGCTGACCTGTGTACCTAGAGTAGTGTTGAAACATAACTTATATTAATATAATTAATTAAGTAATATAAGAAACTACATTAATCTAGAAAAACAATTGTTACGCAGCTAAAGTGGACGAAATAAATGTTCATATAGTGAAAAACATGGAGAACGCGAGGCATGTAGCGAAAATAACGGAATGAGATAGGCAGATATAAAAAAAGAAAAGACGACTTAATCATTTTTATTAACTTTTATTAATACACCATACATTTCACCCATCTCCGCCACGTAGTATAAAATTGTATAAACATGGTATATAATATATTTATACATATATGATACATCTCTATTTTATAATACATCATGATAAGCGACTAACTTGCCGAATGCGAAATTTTAATATTTTGCATATCTCAAGTTATTTACCCTTACTAATCACCTTAAAATACAACTGAGGCGCATTGCACATTTTTGGAAGTTAATTTCTCTCAAAGAGAATAATTCAAAGTCTTGAAACTTTCTATTCGTGCTCATATTGCGTGACTTTATTTTCATAATATATGTATATTGTATGTAATAATTAGAATTCTTAAGAATCTCGCGATTACGGAATGTAAAGTAAAAAGTGTAAATTCTTCAATGAAAAATAAATTTCATAAAAAAAACTACTTTACTCCAACACAAATCTTAAATTTTTTAAATAATTAATTTTTGTATTTACTTGATATTATTTACACTATGACTCTTATACGTTTATTACACCTCTTTATAGAAGTGATATTAAACGATCCAAGTTCCACGTACGAAATTTCGCTTTTCACACAAGATTGACAAGATATTTGAAAAGTTATTCTAAAAAATAAAAAAAATTATAAGTATAAATATAATTCATTTATGCTGCTTATGGTGCATTTACTGCATTTATATAACTGCGTTCGTATAACAGTGTATAATTACACCTTAGACAATCCAATTACATTATACTTCTTGCAACAATATATGGCTGATCGATAGTATTCGAAAGTTGTAAAATATAGTTTATATGCGATTCGATTTACAAGCAAAGTACGATACAGTACCAGTGACCCTCATTCCTTAATCGGAATGTAAAAACGCGTAATCTTTGCGTCTAGAGAGATACGCATATAATTGCTCTGGATTTAATTGAGAACATTTTACTACTATTTACCACAGCTAAATGATGAGCTGTTGAGATTATTTATATATAATTATATATAAAACGTTATATTTTGTATTTAAAAGTACAAATGTACACATTATAGAGACCATTTAAAATGTTTATATCACTTGTCCCATGAAAAAAACTATACTTATATATTGTGCAAGTTATTTTCTTCATTTGCGTGCAACTATCGTTTTCTGCAAAGGTTGATGTTTAAGGAGGTTGGTTCTTACAATATTTAGGAAGGACTTTTACGAAGACTGAAATGATTTCTCTACATAATTATCAAGAAATTGTAAAAATAAAACAGCATATTGCAACATTTCAACGTGGATAACGTATTTGGGTTTCAATTGTACAAACAATGATTTAAAACCTTGAAAAACAGCTAATTAAATGCGTTTTACATAATTTAATTAGCTGTTTTTCAAGGTTTTAAATCATTGTTTGTACAATTAAAACCTAAATACGTTATCCTTGTTGAAATGTTGCAATATGCTGTTTTATTTTTACTAAAACTTTTTTGCTAAAACTCATTTATTTCACGCGACGAAAACACAACTATAGGCTTTCCCCTGCCCGCTGCCTGCCCCGCAACATGACGCAACCAACCTCCCCCCTTAAGTGAATATCAATACGTCCTCGGAAGTTTTAAATTTGCATAAATTTACAGTGTTTCAATACGAGATACATATTCTAAAAGTTGACTACAAGATGAAGATATTAAATTGAAAAACTTCTGTACTACTATGTTCTGAATATCATTTCATTCATTTCAGTGACTGTACATTTGTACAGTATAAAGTATCAAGACTATCGCATGCGGACATCATGCACGAGAATATGAAATAATTTTATTATCAATTAATTTTATAGAATAATTCTTGTATCACCAATATATATACATACAAGGCTGTTTTTATCGTCTGTTTATTTCCGGCTGAAACTTTATCAGAAATCTGAATCTCATAACACACTAGATTACATATCGTAATTATCATGTTTAAATTGTCATGTTTAATAGCCAGATAGACAAGGAAAGATAGAGCGCGCGAAAGAGACAGAGACGTGTTTTGTTCCGTATATGCTATCTTAACAAATTTCACTTTTTGACATCTTACAATCTTGAGCGAAGCAGCTCGATCTTTTTGGCAGCGCGTTTCTGCAAATCAGGCAATTTCATAGCAAGCCCCATGTTCCCTTGAATCTTGACCTTCCCTTGGAAGAAAGCCTTTTGCGGATTCAATTTTCCAGAAATAAAATCGACGATGTCGGTGTCGCTGATCGTGAATGTTACGTCGGGTTTGATTTTGCTGTTATACTCGACTTTGCCTTTGCCCGTTTTTGCGTTTACAACCCAAAATCCTTCGGCGCCTCCGGGACCGTTTATGACTTTAAATCCGTAAACCCCGCGCATTTTCTCGATCAAATTCTCATCGTCTTCCTCCATCGCGATTGCCAGCGTTTTAAACAGCACGTCCGCTTGGAATATGCTCGAATCAGCGGCAACATTCACGTTTTTCCTGATCACCCCTTGTCTCGGAAAGCCCAAGCGGTAGAGAGCCACGATAACCGCACCGCCCAGACCTATGTTGTGCTGAAGCGCCAATTTCGCGCCCTGCACTTGCCTCTTGCCGGCCTCACCGCGAAGTTGCCAAGTAAGTTCAGCGCACTGCGCTAATCCTGTAGCGCCCAGAGGATGTCCCTTCGAAATCAAACCGCCGCTCGGGTTTACGACATACTTGCCACCGTAGGTATTGTCTCCGGCGTCCACCATCTTGCCACCGTAACCGGGAGGACACAATCCCAAGGCTTCATAAGTGATCAACTCATTTATGGAGAAGCAGTCGTGCAGCTCCACCACGTCCACGTCGCTTGGCCTGTAGTTAATCGATGAAAAGACTTTCTCGGCTGCGTTTCTCGTCATGTCATATCTGCAAAGTAATCATAACATAATCACATAATAGATTGATAAACTAGCGATCTCGTCGAGAAGTATAATAGCTCCAGCTTATTTTCCATACCCGACAATATTCATGCACGATTTAGTGTTAAATGTCGTGGACAGGTCAGTGGACATTTCCATAGCCAGGATTTCGACGGCCTGCGATTCCAAGCGATGCTTACGAACGAACTCCTCATTGGCTAGAACGACAGATGCCGCCCCGTCGGAAGTGGGACAACACTGGAGCTTGGTCAACGGTCCAAATACCTTGGGAGAACTCATTATTTGCTGGAAGGTATATTTCTCTTGGAATTGAGAATATGGATTGTTCGTGGAATGCAGATGGTTCTTATACGCGATCTTTGCAAAGTGCTCAGGCTTCGTGCCGTATTTCTTCATATGCTCGATCCCGGCATTGCCGAAGAGTTGGGCGGTGATGGGACCCTCGGAAAGGCCTGCACAAATGCGACGCGTATGCGGTAAGCAAATTAAATACGTGAAATATTATTCTAGCTCGTGTGTTTCAGAATCCTATGTCTCACCTGCGATATCCGCCATGAGCTCGACATGCTTATCCATAGGATTTGTGCGATCCATATACTTGGACATCAGAGAGCCACGCTCCATCTTTTCGAAGCCAAGCGCCAGGACGCAATCCGCGTTGCCGCTCTCGACGATCTGCTTGCCAAGATAGAGAGCGGTGGAGCCGGTGGAGCAGTTGTTGTTGACATTGTAAATGGGACAGCCACTGAGGCCGACCTCGTAGACCGCCCTTTGGCCGCAGGTCGAGTCACCGTACACGTATCCAACGCAGACGGCTTTAACGCTGTTGTAGGGTACCTGCGCATCCTGCAGGGCCTTGGTCACCGCCTCCTTCGCCATTTGCGGATAATCAAAGTCCTCCCTGCGACCGGGCTTCTCGAACTTGGTCATCCCGACGCCGATCACGTACACTTTTGGCTTGTAAACCATCTTGGCGATGATTCTTCGGACGCGAGCGAAATACTGGGAAATGTTCGTCGATCGACGAATAACTCCGAACCTCCGAACTCGTTCTTCTCGCGAGACTTCCTCGCGTGCCGGACGTGGAGCGTGGAGGTTGCGAAATGGGAAAACGGGAGAAACGAGGAAGGCCGAAAGAGAAAAAAGTGACGACGCACGTAACGATGCTGCCGCGGAACTGTCGAGCGTCGAGATCAGCCGATCGTACTCCGAGACGAACTCCGTCCGGTGGACTTTAATCCTCCATGTATCGCGGTGAAGATTGGGAAAGCGCAATGACAAAGCGGTTTCCCCGGGCCCGAGTCACGACGATAACGAGCAACGATCACCATTCATCGCCGTCTCGCCACGGCGCGAATGGCGACCTAGATCGACGCCTCCGGTGAAAATGATACGCTTCGCGCGAGGCGTTAATTACCCCGCTGGCACACGTAATCGAACCTCGCGAAAAGGATATGTTTCCACCGATTAAATTTTCCACGAATTGAATTATTAATAATAACAACAACACGCGCCACATAGATGAATCTTATCTTATGTCCGACGTTTTATTAACAATCGATTTTACGAGGACACGTCGATTGCCTTAATTTTGTGTTTTGTCGATAAGACAAAATAAAGGATTAAATACGCTTGTAAACTGATAAGAATAATGTTACATCTATATAATTTCCATTTCAAAATTGTCGATTTCCCGTTCGCTGTTTTACACGATGAATAATTCAGGGAAAAGAAAAGCGCGTACGCGCGTGATTTATCGTGAAACTAATTAGTATAAGATGCGTAATATTTAAGAATCTTTTAAAAATAATATATTTTAAATTGAGAAAATTTCCAAATAGATATATTTTCAAATATGAGCTCCCGAAGCATTAGGCAATTATAAACAAATACATTCAAAGGTAATATGTCTATCCTTTATAACTGCATTTATTTTTTATTATTTGCCTGAGAATCATTGTTGAGACTGGAATGGCAGAATAGAAAATCAAATTGTTTCGCACGTAATCTCTTTCTCTCTCTCTCTCTCTCTCTCTTTCTCCTCTCTTTGCCACTTTTGGAGGTTCGAAAGTATGTTCACTCGTGTTCGCGTGAGGTGCAGAAGGTGCGAGTGAGGTGCAGGCCGCAGGCCGCCCACGAACGGACCCGTTTAAAGCTCCGCGCATTGGCGTAGGCCCAGGCGGACTCGCGCGTCAATCAACGTCTACGTCTATGGGTGGCGCCGCGCCGGCCATGGCGGCCATTGCGCGGTCGTGTTTTGGCCGACCGAAAAGATGGCGGACCGTTGTTTTCGAGATCGCTCGCGCTCACGGCACGTCGGCAAGGTACGGCGAGGCACGGCACGGCTCTGACTGAGATCCCGCGATTTCCGCGCGAGAGTTGACATGCCGCGCGCGTGGTAGATCGTCGTTGTTGGTCGTTGTGTCAGTGACAGTCGCGCGTGCGACCGCATCGTCCAGCGTTCGCCGCACCGTCTCGGCGTCATTGTCGCCGCCGTTGTAGTGGTGGTGGTGGTGGTGGTGTCCGTGGTGGTCATCGTCGTCGTCGTCGTCGTCGTCGTCGTCGTCGTGGTGGTGGTGGTGGTGGTCGTGGCCGTCGTCGTCGTCGTCGTCGTCGTCGTCGTCGTTGCTCCGTACAAAGCGACGTAAATCACAGAATCCCTGGGTCCTGACGGAGCGATTCCGACGACGTGTCGTCGTCGGCGCGTCGAAGAATCGGCGCGAGGACGCCGTCGAGTCGGTAAAACGGTCGCGCTCCACCGCGAGCTTTTCTAACCCCACTGTCGCTATTTACCGCTCCCCGCGAGAAACGCGGCTTGGTTAGGTTGCTCGAGGGCCCGCGGCCCGCGCTGATCCTATGGCACCGGAACGCCGCCGTCGCGCGTGTTACCCGTGGTTGCCCGCGTTGACAATGTGACGTGCCGTCGAGAGTTTACGATTTGGTTAACCGATGGATAACCCGCGCGCGATGGCGAGCAACGATTTCGACGCCGAGCAGTTCGAGCGAAGGCTCCACTCGCTGAAGGACTCGCAGGAGTCCATCCAGGGACTATCCGCGTGGTGCCTGGACAGGAGGCAGCATCACAAGAAGATTGTCGCCACATGGCTCCAAGTTTTAAAGAAAGGTAAACTCCAAGTCATAGACTTACTATAAGCTTGTTCGTTTTACCTCAACCTCAACTTCTTGCACGGTCTTTTTCCTTTTTGTTATCACGTTGGAGAGAAAAAGAGAAAAGATCAACTGACTGTACAACAACGTGAGCTAAAACGAACAGGCCTTATGATTCTCATATAGATCATGTACAACGTAGCTTTTATCACAGATAAACTCGCTCGCGTGTGTTACAGTATGCGTGCGTCACAATTTTATCATCTTAAATGTATAATTTTGAGACACATAGCTCCCAAGTATATAAAATTCATTTTTTGTACAACAGTGAAGGTGGAACATCGGCTCACGTTGTTCTATTTGGCGAACGACGTTATTCAATACTCCAAAAGGAAGAATTTCGAATTTGTGGAATCATGGGGCACTACTCTGCAACGTGCGACCCCCATGGTCCGCGACGAGAAAGTGAAGCATCGTATACTGAGAATTTTCAAGATCTGGGATCAGCGGCAAGTCTACGACGAAGAGTTTCTTGCCGATCTGTCCGGCTTAATTTCGGCGGCACCGAAAAAGAAATTGGATCCCCCACCGACCGCTCAGCCCGAAGAGTTTCAGGCGGCTTTACTTATTTCTACGATGAGGTCTTGCGCGACTCTGGAACAAGCCACTGACGCCAGACTGCGCGATCTACGGGAGAGCAACATAGACATCGAATCCGCAGAGGAGTTACGCGCGTCGTTAAAGGACAGGAGGCGCGTGGAAGATGCGGAGAAAGAGATAGATTTGGTCGCTAGGAACGTCGAGAATTATGTTCGTTCGTTAGAGGCAGAGATTAGGGAAAGGACACAAGTAGTTGATTTGTTGGAGCAAGCGGATCAGTTTTATGAGACTCAACGTGGGGAAGTTAAAATAGTGACAAATGTAAGTGTTAAACTTTGCGAGGCGATTCAATACCGCTGCGTTCTCATGTTACATTTTTCATGAACAGGCCTATCGGAATTTTGGCAGTCGTGTCAAAAATTTGAAGAAAAAGTTAGACGAGTTGCTACCTACGTTCGTCTCGCCTATACCGTCGCCGGACATAAACGCGCCCTCGCCGAGTCCCGACAGTGATATAGAGCTACCAGGAGATGAAACTCAACCAGTGAATAATCAATCGGGAATGATTGACGTAGCCCCGCCGTCTATCTACGGTTCATATTCTCACGAGTACGATCCTATACGACCAGTGCCCGCACCTGACTTGGTACAAGGCAATGAGTCGGCGGACTTTACCAATAATTTTCCCTCCTTTATCGGAGGAAATGTAGATTTTGGTAATATGGTAAGATAGAGCATTAGTTGCATACGTATTGTTTTATAAAGGAAGGTTTTTTGTCATAAATGTATTCGAGACATATTATATATTATTCTTTTCTGTTTTCTGTAGAGAAATTTGTTTAATGAAAATTCTGAGACACCTGCCGGGATGTCTCAACAGTACAATGAATCTTTAGAGGTAATTAGATTAGATAGAAATTTATTGTTCCCCTTTTGGAGTTGCAATCTTTACAAAATCCAAAACTTACACTAACTTAATTCTAACTTAGTCTACGCCTTATCCCTCTCGCACGCTTCGTACGCCTCGCACATCTCGCGCATCTTGCTCACATCGCACGCCTTCTTTAGAGGTTTAATTATTCGCCATATATTTGCAAGATTCTATCAAAGTATGTGTTTTACGAGATAATATGATTTTCAGGCAAAACCAATAGAAGTAATCAATATGAGACCGAAAAATGAACAGAACAATGCGGACTTTAATATATCTAGTTTCCTGAAAACGGTTCTTCCGTCTTCCGATGGAACGTCAGATTCAGGTGGAATTCCGGGTCTAGGCCTGGACGTTTCTGAAAGTCAAGTGGAATCGCCGCAACGTCCCAACTATAGACATTCGCCCTCGTTAGGGCCGCACCCCGTAACGCCTGTGATCTCAAGAATGATAAACAGTCAGGGTACACCATCCCTCAGTGGGAGCGGTGGTTTAAACAATTGCCAGATGAGTCACAGTACCCCGTTGGCGGTTCGCAATCTGTCCGAGTCGCACACCCCCTCTCCGTATTCCAGTCAAAATAGTCAAAGTAATATAACTGGTCCCTTTGACGGCCCCACTAATGCTAACACAGTTAACCCTTTACCTCCCCCACCTTTACCACCACCTATCTTCCTCGATGATGAGAATTGTTACAACAAGCTGCCGCCAAAGTTTCCCACGTGGACGCCGCCGAACGAGGGTATTAAAGACTCTGCCAAATGGGAGGAAAAAGGTATACACAATGCACTGCAAATTTAATCATTCGCTTTTTTATTGTTGCGCAGCAATGCATAGCGTTCCCTATAGCAAATTTTGCTACATGTTCAGGCAAGAATAGTATGAATCCCACATGGCCTGGCGAAGGCGATGATAAAAACAAAAGTTCATGGATGGATGGCGAAGGAGACAGGTGGGACTCCAATAACGATTCCACATGGCCGGTCAGTGGCAGGACAAAAAATGATATGCTGTCCGAGACTCCCGAATCGCCGCCTATATATGAGAAAACTGGTTTCGCTGAACCGGTGCAGTACAACGAGCCTCAACCACAAGAATCTCTGAATACCACGGGAGACGTAGATCATAGGTAACACAGTTTCTACCAGAATTTCATTGTTCTGTTTTTATTTTTAGATTGTTGATCACGTGTTGACATGATTTTCCAGTTATTAAAGTTACTTTTTATTTACAGAGTGATTCCAATCCCAATGGCCCGCGAAAATCAGCTACCGTATCGTTTGATGAAAGCAGGGGATGTGGATCATCGTAATCTAATCAGTCTGACTGGCAGCCCGGCAAATCATCATAATGTTGGTGATTCGTCGCTGTCTTCTTTATCCAATAACAATAGTTTATGGACCACAGGCGATCAAGATTATCGGTAAGCTTTGTGCTACTTTCATGAGCATCTATCTGTAGTTAGACATATACGTTTTATATAGCTAGACATATATTTTTTATATAATTTTATATTTGTGTCTTATATATGTATATTTAATTCTTATATAATTTATATAATTTAGGCGACACATGCAACCTGGTGACATCGTCGAGAGTGTTGATATGGAAATGTCGGACGACGAGACTGATAGCAAGCCAAAAGGCAGAGTTCTCGTCGATCTTAGGCAGGATCGCGACATGCGTGTAGGCGCACCGCCCCATCACGACATGGACATGCGTACAATACCTCTTCCGAGTATGGGAATGCCCGGCCCGCGTGATAGTCAGCCCATGCAAGATATACACTTGATACATTCAGGACCACCTCCACCGCCGCCGTTACCGCAGTTTCAACATCAGGGTCAAGGTGGTTTCCGGCAAGAACAGTCGGTAGATTTTCATCCAAATCAATCAAAGTTTCAGCAGAACAGACCACCAAACTTCTTGCGAAATCAACAAGACTTTCATTCAAATCAACAAGAATTTCATCAACTTCATCAATCGCAGCAGAACTTTGAGTATTGCGATAGAGAACACAATATCCGTTCTAAGCAAGATTTTTTGGCGGAATCACCGGGACGCGGAAGATACTCGACAGATCATCAGCATCAACACGATACGTCACCCTTTCATAGAAACGAATGGAACAATCGTGGTGGTGGCAACCGTGGATTTCCGAGAAACCGCCGAGACAGGTACTCAGAAGATCACAATATACAAAAGCAGCGGAACAATCTGGCAAACAGTCGCAAGTCGAGATCGCAGGATCAACAGCATCACCAATCCCCGTCGGAGCTCCTGCCCAACAATCGATCGTTACTGCAACCACCTGATACCGCCGTTATCTTCGACGAGGAAGGTATACCGATCGGCATGCCGGAATTTAACCAGGACAACAGCACGATATCTAACAAAGTGGATGCTCAAGCAGAATCAGAACGCGATCCCGATAACTGCCAGAGCTCTTCGGTACCACATACACGGCGGATTTCGCATGACGTGTCGAGTTCTCACGATTCTGAAAACAACCAACAGCAGCAGCAAACGGCTTATCAGTTAGGCCCCGATCAAGAACAGCGGGCATCATCTTTGACCGAATCAAAAGATCAGTCATCATCGATAAATCAAGTTACGATTATTCCGATAAGGACGAATAACGCCGGCGATGAATCGCAGCAAAAGCAGCACGTTCCTATTTCAGAATGCGAGGAGCACGTCGAGTCGACCGAGCACTCCGATCCCGCGGAGAAGACAAGTGCGGCCGACAACGAACCGATTAATCCGGGACAGAACGTAAATTCCACGGAAAGGGAGTCGTTAGATGAATCGATGAGTTCAACCATGTTAGGTAAAGAGATGAAGAGAACGGCGAACGGCGATTGCGACGAGCAAAGTCACGAAGAAGGAGCCCTCAATAAAAAAAGGCCTCTCTTGCAAAACGGGCCGCAAATGCTGAACGACGACTTGTCTGGCCCGAACGGTCCCACACTGATGTCGGAATCTCATCCCGCTATCATGTACGAATATGATGGACCAAACTTCCGACCGCGCATTGGAGCACCTTACCCACTCTGGCGAGGCGGACCTCCTCCGCCTTCTCCTAGAGGAGGTAGAGGAGGTTTCAGGGGCGGGCCGGTAGGGCTGCCGCGGGGCCCGTGGATGGACAGGGGACCGCGCGGTCCCGCAGTCAGTAACTTCTCACCGAGAGGATTGAAACGCGGAGGCAAACAGTTTTGGGGCGGCGGTGGTTTCAGAGGCCGGGGACGAGGCAGTAACTGGTAGATAAAGCGAAAAACTTTGAAAGACTCGACGACTCTCCGTCGTCATAATCCGACCGGATACATATGCGAAGCGCGTTTCGCACTCTGTAAATAAACGAACTGACACGCTTCGGCATTCACACGCGTGTGCGCTCGCGCGCGCGCGCGCGACCACACATACATACACATATATAAAAGTAGACACAGATTCGGTTGGTTCCGATGGAACAGTGACATCTTAGATAATGAAAGTTCGTCACGTTCTCCTGTGCGATTGATTCGCCTATATAAATATATAAATAACAAAAACTATAGATATATATATATATATATATATATACATACATATATAGATATATCCATACTTAGTAGATACATGTTTCGTTAAGATCTTAACAAATGTTAATGAAGCGGCTTGCGTTCGCATACATGTATATACATGTGTACACACATACGTGCTATTATCGATCCCAGTAAATGATTAGGAGCAACGTACGATGAATCTGGACGCGATACGTCGCTCATAGTCACTGCGATAATGATCACATTTGCCGCCACTCCCATAGGTTTTTATGTCAGGAGGGTTTGTGTTGTTTATGTATGCGTTGAGAGAACGGCTATGACGATAAATTTCGCCGAATCGTGAAGGAAGGCCGCTTTGAGCGAGGTCAAGCACCAAAAATCGCAAAAACTACGATAGTTAATTGATGGTAGTTAATTGATAGCATCGATTGAAACTGAGCGTAATTTCGTTGAATTCAAATTTCCGTGTAGATTTACGAGAATGATTCCTATGAAATGATTAAATTGGCAGAAAATAAACTCTCTCTCTCTCTCTCTCTCTCTCTCTCTCTCTCTCTCTCTCTC